GGGCTGAAGGGGGGAGACATGGGGTCACCCAGGTCGCGCTCACCCTCACCTGGGGTCACAACGGCCTGGGCCCCAAGTGACAGTGAGCGACGCTTCATCAACACCGCAGAACACTTCTGCTTGCCGCTGCGGGGGTGTCCCAGCACCGCCCGAGCCCCACGGGGCACCCACCTTCCCTGAGGTCTTCACCCCCTTCCACAGGCTGAAGTAGAGCAGCAGGATGACGAGCGCCAGGCAGCAGGCGAGCTGCCAGCGGGGCGGGCCCAGGTCCTGGATGCCACGGCTCTGGTGCAGGTGCAGCACGCCGCGCCTGGGGGCGGGCGTCAGGGTGGGCGCGGGCAGGCGGGGGCGTTCGCGGAGGGAGGGGTGCGGGGCCGAGCAGGGGCGCGGGCCCGGGTCTGCCCACCCAGGCCAGGGCCTCACAGGGTGGAGCTGGGCGAGTGGGCACCGCAGGTGGGGCCGCATCTGCGCCCTCCTGGCACCAGCCCCGGGTGCCCCGTGGGCTGTCAGGCCTGTCCTGGGGTCGCCCTCCCTGGAGTCCCCGTACCTGGGCAGCAGGGGCCCCACCTTCCCCCCGTCCTGGGGCACGCACGCGGTGCCCCGCGGGCCCATTGCAGGTCTGGGGCGAGCACCAAGTCCACACTTGCTCTGGGCCGCACTGCCTCACAGCGGCCCCCGCCTGCGCCCCCCAGCTCCACCTGGGCCCCCAGCTCCCGCCTGGACCCCCCAGCTCCACCTGGGCCCCCAGCTCCCGCCTGGACCCCCCAGCTCCCGCCTGCGCACCCCAGCTCTCACCTGGACCCCCCAGCTCCCGCCTGGACCCCCCAGCTCCCGCCTGCGCACCCCAGCTCTCACCTGGACCCCCAGCTCCACCTGGACCCCCCAGCTCCGCCTGGACCCCCCAGCTCCGCCTGGAACCCCCAGCTCCCGCCTGGACCCCCCAGCTCCCGCCTGCGCACCCCAGCTCTCACCTGGACCCCCCAGCTCCCGCCTGGACCCCCCAGCTCCACCTGGGCTCCCCAGCGCCACCTCATCCCCTAGCTCCCGTTGGACCCCCTGGCTCCTGCCTGGGCCCCCGGTTCCTGCGTGAGCCCCTGGCTCCCATCTGGGCCCCTGGCTCCTGTCAGGGCCCCCCAATTCTGCCTCGCCCACCCATGGGCTGGGGCCCCAGCTCCACCTCGCCCCCCAGCTCTGCCTGGGCCCCCAAGCTCCACCTCGCCCCCCATGGGCTGGGTGTGGCCCGCGATGCAGGAAAGCAGGCCTCACCGCAGACCTGGGTGGGCAGTGGAGGCAGCCCAGGCCCGAGGACCAGCGGGTGAGCCGTGAGGCGCCGCCCACGGGCGACGGGGCGAGCGCCCCTGAAGACGCAGGCCCGGCCCTCTGCACTGCCCAGCCCAGCCCCAGGCGGCGGAGTGACCGCCCCGACAGCCTCCCTCAGAGGGCTCTGCCGGGCAGGCGCCAGCTGGACAAGCGGGACCGCAGACCGCGCCGCCCAGGGCCCTGCAGGGCAGCAGGCGCAGCGGGCAGGGCAGCTGCGGGGGGTGGCTCCCCGAATCCAGCAGAGTAACCCTGCGGCCAAGCGGCCGCGCTTGGGTTTATGCGGACAAAACCCAGGGCAGGGACGTGAACGGCCGCCCTGGCCAGGCCCGGGAGCAGCGGCCGAGGAGAGCCCGCAGCGACCCGAGCGGACACCCCAGGACAGGGCACTGTGCTGCGTGAACATCGCCGCCTGCGGAGACGTGCGTCCAGGCGGCCTGCGGACACCTCCAATTTAAAGAACGGACTTCTGAAGATCCCACCGAGCCGAGACCGAGCAGCAGGGAGGGCGGCCAGTGCAGCTCCGGCGGCCGGTCCCTGCTGCGAGTGCGGACTGTCCTGAACCCGAGAGGCGCTTCGGGGCCGGCACCCGCCACTCCCCTCCGCCGTCTCCCTGCCACCTGCCTGGCTCAGAGCACGAGACCCGCAGGCTGAGCCCGCGTCCTCGGCACCTCCGCGTGGACGGTCAGCGCAGACCGCTGGGGAACAGGTGACCCCGAGGGAGAAGGGGCTGGTGGTGGCAAACGCCAGCGGCCTCCCTTCCCGGGGACAGCACCTCCCGGGGCACCCCTCTGCGGTGAGGCGCCCTGCGTCTTGAGCCCTTCCCTCCTGTGCCTGTGGGAAGGCCGCGGGGCCTGTGCCTGCGGCTGGCGTCAGGGCCGGAGGAGTCTGGGCCGTGCCGCGGGGACCGGGGGCTGAGGGTCAGCGTGAAGGCCTTCGCCTGCTCACGGTCAGCACCACAGTGGGACACAGCACGAGCTCGACCTCGATCCTGCAGGCGCCCTCACTGCCATGCCTCACCACGGGGATCTGCACCCCGAAGCCCAGCCCTGCACCCTGACGGCCAGCCCAGCTGGGGCTTGTGGTCAGCAAGGTCACCACCCAGCGCGAGGGGCCCCGGTGGCCTGCGGGCAGGGCCCAGCGGCTGCTCCCTCCACTCCCTGCCCCCCCCGCGGACCCTGAACTGGGGTCATGGGGTGTCCCCCCTTGGCACCACTCAGCAGCCCCACCCCTGCAGTCCCCCAAATCTTCCAGGATATATCGAAACCTGTCCGATGGAAAGGCGCACGGGGGAGCCCCTGCCCTCCGGTCTCTGCCACCGTCCATGTGGGCCACAGGGCTGTGGCCTCCTCCCTGCCGGCCCCAAACCTCAGGAAGAGGGTCACGCCACCCCCTGCCCGCCAGGTCGCAGCCCTTGCCACTGGGCACAAGCAGGACGGCCCAGCTAGCCGGGCCAGTGTGATCTTGGGTCTCAGCCTACAGGGGCTTTGTGGACACACCACCCCGGGACCCCTAGCCCTCCCTGGGCCCCCCAACCC